TGGGGGCGGGGGGAGGTTTGGCGAACAGAACCTCGGGTGCCAAGCGGTCTGTCACAGACGGCAAAATCTGTTCTTGCCTGAGCAGCCAATAATCCTTGCACCGGCCCTGACTGTGTGTGTTCTATCTCCAGTAAATATCGCACCAAAGTGGTGGAAGAGCACATCCAAGAGAATGGGCTCAAAGGAGCCACATTTCTGCAATACTGTGACTGGAATGCTCAGCTACAAGATGTGTTTTTGCATACTTTCATTAATCTTCTCTGTAATCTTTTAAAATGATATAATTCTTGAGAGGGGTGGGGGGTATTCCTACCCTATATTTTAAAACTGCAATATGCATTGAGACATTGAGGCCTTGGTATGTGTGCAGAAAATAGCATAACTTTGTGCAAAGATCATGAGAGATACTATACCCCTTGATTTAACATAGCCATAATATATCATTGTGTTCAGCTGAAATAGGGCTTTCATTTCATATTAAATATTTATATATGGAACACTATTTACTATGAATAAAATCTAGTACATGTTCCAAGTTCTGCATGGCATTTTAACTGATTGTCAGATTGTCATAATACTGTTAGTTTTTATTGCAATAAGAAACTCTTTTTAGTAGCCATGTTGTCACAAACCCTGGACAAAGTTAGTGTTCCTATTTGTTTTTTTGCATTTTTCACAAACAAACAAACAAACAAACAAAATGCCCTTTCACCAATTATATTATCTACATCAGTGTTCTGCAACTTTTTTGCACCTGAGGCCCGGCAAAAAGAGGAGAAATATTTTGCAGACCAGCGTCAGCCAGAAGTAAAAACCAATGGTATGTGTGAGTGGTACAGTTTGCATGCATGTATGGGGGACTGTGTGTGTATGGGGAGCAACATGTATCTTGGTATGAGGGGCAATGTGTGTCGGTATGAGGGGCAGTGTGTGTGTATGGGGTCAGTGTGTGTGCGTGTGTATGGGGGCAGTGTGTGAGTATAGGGGGCAGTGTGTGTATAGGGGGCTGTGTGTATATAGGGGGAAGTGTGTGTGTATAGGGGCAGTGTGTGTATGGGGGCAGTGTGTGTGTATGGGGGCAGTGTGTTTGTATAGGGGAGAATGATTGTGGGTCTGTGGGGTTGGAGGGTAGATTAATAAATGTATATATTGTTTTAATAAAAAACAAAAAAAACAATAGTTTTGATATCCGAGCTCGCGACAGGAGAACCCAGCCAAGCTGTAGGCTAGAGCTTCCCTGCCCATGGGCGTAGGAACCGGGGGAGATGCGGGGACGCATCCGCCCCCAGCAAATCATGCGGGGGGACAGGTTATGGAGAAATCCCCCCCAGCTCCACTGGCCCCCCTCATGCTGCAGCCGCCCGAGCCTCAGGTGGCTGCAGCTTTGCCCGGGCTGGTGCGTCCAGGAGGGCGCACCGCCCGGGCGCAGAATGAGGAGAGGGGCTGACAGGTATATGGTCCATGGGTACAGGGAGCATCTGTCACCTGTACCTGGCTGGACTAGCAGGACTAACAGGAGGAAGAAAGTGAAGGGGGGGGAAGAAATTGACAGGGGGAGGGGGGAAAGGAAGAAATTGACAGGGGGAGGGAGGGGGAGGAAGAAATTGAAGGGGGGGAGGAAGAAATTGACAGGGGGAGGGAGGGGGAGGAAGAAATTAAAGGGGGGGGAGGAAGAAATGACAGGAGTGGGAGGGGAGGAAGAAATTGAAGGGGAGGAAAAAATTGACAGGGGGAGGGAAGGAAGAAATTGAAGGAGGAGAAGAAATTGACGGGGAAGGAAGAAATTGACAGGGGGTGGGAGAAAGAAATTGACAGGGATGGGGGTGGGAGAAAGAAATTGACAGGGATGGGGGAGGAAGAAATTGACAGGGAGGGAGGGAGAAAAAAATTGACAGGGAGGGGAATTGACGGGGGAGGGAGGGGGAATGAGAGTGGGGAGGGGGAGGGAGAAGAGAGTGACAATGGGGGAGAGAAGAGAGTGACAAGGGAGGGGGAAGAAGAGAGTGACAAGGGAGGGGGGAGAAGAAGAGTGACAAGGGAGGGGGGAGAAGAATGTGACAAGGGAGGGGGGAGAAGAGAGTGACAAGGGAGGGAGAGGGGGGAGAAGAGAGTGACAAGGGAGGGAGGGGGGAGAAGAGAGTGACAAGGGAGGGAGAGGGGGGAGAAGAGAGTGACAAGGGAGGGGGGAGAGATTGACATCCATCACACACACACAATCACACAATGCACCCCATACACACAAAGACAATGCACCCCTTACACACAAAGACAATGCACCCCTTGCACACAAAAAAAAACACACAATGCATTACACACACAATGAATTAGACACACACACACAAGCAATACAACCCTTACATACAATGCATCCCTTACACACACAGAAACACACAATGCATTCCTTACACACACTCAATGCACCCCTTACACACACTCAATGCACCCCTTACAATCGCACACACTGCATCCCGTACATACACAGAAACACACCTTGCAGCCCTTACACATACAAACACAGATTCACACAGTGCATTACTTACACACATATCAGGGCATCCCCTACACACTCCACCCCCTGTGAACAATTGGTGGAACATGAAGGTGGACCCTGGGACCCAGACCTTGAGCTGTGTAAAGGTCCTCCAAAAAATGGAGCTGCTTCCCGTTCTCCCAGAACATTGATTTTTGTGACCACAGTTACAAACAGCCTCCAGAGAGTCTGTTCTACACCAGACCAGTGGATCCAGACTGCAGCTAGAGCCCATCATCATCCTCATCTGGTTGTAAGTTGGCAATCTAGCATATTATTCGTGGCACTAATCTCTAATTTACCTCACATTAAAGAAACACTATAGTCCCCAGAACCACTGCAGCTTAATGTAGTGGTTCTGGTGTCTATAGCCTGTCCCTGCAGGCCTTTTAATGTAAACACTGCGGCACTCCAGCACTGGCGTTAGGTAACATGGCAGATCATGTGGGTGGGGCATTGTAATGTCACGGGGGGGCGGCAAACTTTAATTTTGCCTAGGTCGGCAAAAATCCTTGCACCGGCCCTGGCCGGGTGTCACGTGACTACCCGGCGCTCAGTCTGACACTGCGCCTGCCAGACGTCCAGAGGTCCCCCTGCTATGTCAGGTAAAAGAGGGGACAAAGGTAGAAAAATAATTGGAAGGGTTTAGGGGGGCTACTAATATGGATATGGGGAGAGGTGGGTAGAAAAATAATTGGAAAGGGTTAGGGGGGCTACTAATAAGGATAGGGGGAGAGGGATAGGTAGAAAAATAATTGGAAGTGTTTAGGGGGGCTACTAATATGGATGGGAGGAGGGGGGAGGTAGAAAAATTATTGGAAGGGGTTAGGGGAGTACTAATATGAATGGAAGGGGTAGGGTGGCTTCTAATGTGCATGGAAGGGGTTAGGGGGTACTAATATGCATGGAAGGGGATAGGGGGGTACTAATATGCATGGAAGGGGTAGGGGGGTTAATATGCGTGGAAGGGGTAGGTGGGGTTCTTTTGTGCATGGAAGGGGTAGGGGTGGTTCTAATATTCATGGGAGGGGTAGGGGTGGTTCTAATATAAATGGAAGGGGTAGAGACGAGTAGTAAAATGTATGGAATGCATTTCTGACAGTGTCACTGAATGACAGTTAGGAAATGTGGTCACTCTAAGTCAGGGGCAGTATTACACAATCTGTATATGTATAAAAAAAATATAAAAAGTAATCTGCAAAGTACAAAATGTTTGTGTCATATGTCGTGCTAAAAATTAAGCTAGGAATATTCATATTTTTTTTTAAATAATTTTTAGAATAATGATACAGACATTTTATTTCTTACATTTGTGATGATTCTTTTTTCCTCTCTATATTCAAGTGACACTATAGTCACCAGAACCACAACAGCTAAACGTAGTAGTTCTGGTGTCTATAGCACGTCTTTGCAGGCTTTTTAATGTAAGCACTGCCATTTCGTAAAAAGGCAGCATTTACATTACTGCTGAGGAATACCTCTAGTGGACACTCAGATGGCCACTAGAGGTGCTTCCTAGTCGAGACATGAATGCCGCCCTATGAAGTATCTGCGCATGTGCGGCAAAGCTGCGCATGCGCACCAGAGAGCAATGACGCTTCTGAATAGAAGCGTTTTATTGCTCCCTGCTCGCACCCTCCTATTTCGTCATTTTGACGAAATAGGGGGCGCGGCATCAGGAGGATCCCGGCGCTGTATCCGGGTAAGTAAAATCCCTTCCCTGTAGTGACCCTTTAATGTTATTATTTTATCATTTATATAGCAACTGCAAATTCCGTAGCGCTGTACAATGGGATAAACAACTCCTAGTTTACGGAATAAGAATATACCCGGCGAGTAAAAATGCTATCCCCCCCAGGTTTTTTGGGGTTCTTATGCCCATGTCCACAGGTCTGGTGTAGAAGAGGCTCTCTGGAGACTGTTTGTAACAGTGCTCACAACAATTAACGAACAGGAAGCAGCTCCATTTTTTGGGGCCCCTTACACAGTTAAAGGTCTGGGCCCCCAGAGCTTGACCGTGAGTATACCTACAATGCCCACCCATAAATCCACCTACATGGCCCACCAATGAGTTCTCTCACAGGGAGTGGAGTGTATGTGTGTAGGGGATGTGTTATTGTAGAGGATGTAATGTGTGTGTGTTCTTATAGAATGTAGTGTATAGGGATACCAATTTGTGTAAGGCATGACGTGTGTGTATAGTGGATGCATTGTATGTTTCTGGGTGTGTGTGTGTGTGTGTAAGGGATGCAAGGTGTGTTTCTGTGTATGTAATTGAATGCAGTGTGTGTCTGTAAGGGGTGCATTGAGTGTGTAAGAGATGCATTTTGTTTCTGTGTGTAAGAGAATGCGTGTTTGTGTGAGCATAAGGAATGCATTGTGTGTTTCGGGTGTGTCTGTGTGTGAGTAGGGATGCATTGTATGTTTCTGTGTGTGTGTGTGGGGGGGATGCATTGTGTATGTGTGTAGTGTAAAAGAGAGGGTTTGTGGGGTAGGATAGGGACTGAGAGGGGAGCAGCTCTTTATTTTATTTTTTTTAAATTCATAGTGCTCCCCCCTCTTGTCAATGAGTGATCTCTCCTTCCCTCCTGTCCCTCAGTGTTCTCCCCCTCTTCCCCTTAGTGCTCTTCCTTGGCCCCCTGTCCCCCTGCAGTCCCCCCTTGGTGGTCTTCTCAGTCCCCCCTCTCCCTCTTAGTGATCCTCCCTCTCCCAAACCCCTTATTGGTCCTTGCCCTCCTACCCACTTAGTGGTCCTTTCCCTTTCCCCCCCCAGTGGTCTTTACCTTCTTTCCCCCCTCAGTGGTCCTTCCCCTCCTCCCCTCTACTTAGTGGTCCTCCCTCCTTAGTGGTCCTTCCTCTCTTCCCCTCCCCCACCCTTAGTGGTCCTTAGCCTCTTCCCCCCCTCAGTGGTCCTTACCCTCTTAGTGGTCCTTACCCTCCTCCCTTCTCCTTAGTGGTCCTTCCCCTCTTCCCCCCCTTAGTGGTTCTCCCTCTCTCAAACCCCTTAGTAGACCTCCCCCTCTCCTCCCTCATTGGTCCTCCCTCCTCACCCCCTCCTTTGGTGGCCCTCCCCTCTTCGCCCCCTTAGTGGTCCTCCCTCTGCCAAACCCCTTAAAGAACCTCCCCATCTCCTCCCCCAGTGGTCCTTACCCCCCTCCCCCAGTGGTCCTTATTTCCCCCAGTGATCCTTATCCCTCCTCCCCAGTGGTCCTTATCCCCCCACCTCCCCAGTGGTCCTTACCCCCCCAGTGGTCCTTACTCCTCCCTCTGTGGTCCCTCCCCCTCCCCAGTGGTCCTTATTCCCCCCAGTGATCCTTATCCCCTTCCCCAGTGGTCCTTATCTCCCCACCTCCCCAGTGGTCCTTACCCCCCTCCCCCAGTGGTCCTTACTCCTCCCTCTGTGGTCCTTATCCCCCCCACCTCCCCCAGTGGTCCTTACCCTCCTCTTTTGTTCCTCTTGCCAATGTAGCGTGGCCGGGTGTCTGTCAGTCCGCTGGCGGCCGGGTACAGGAAACAGAGGTTCCTGTCCCGCGTTACGCGCCGCCCGGCCACGCTACATTGAGAGACCGGCAGGAGGGAACATGAGCAGCAGTGCTGCGCCGCCTGTGGCTTGTAAAAGCGCTCAGGCGGCGCAGCATGAGGAGCCGCACCGGTGACTCCGGGCGCAGGGATCCGGCACCCCCTGCTAAGGTGCGCCCTAGGCAGCTGCCTAGGTCGCCTTACAGGTAGCGCCGGCCCTGCGTGTCAGTGCTTTTAATGTTGTGATTGATCAGTGTATAATTGCACCTCCTTCAAAATGTTTATTCTCATCAACCTTTCTGTATTGCCCTAAGGCAGTGGTTCCCAAAGTTTTTAGGTTCAAGGCGCCCTTTATATTTCAATATATTTCCAAGGTGCCCCAAGTCAAAACAAATTTCCATGTAGTATATTTGTACAGCGCTGCGGCATATACTGGGCCCTTGTTTAGCAGAAATGTTTCCCAGTCAGGGGCGGATCCAGAACCTAATCTTGGGAGCGGCACTGGTAGATTATTTAAGGAAACAAACCAGGCACAATAACCACTACTGCACTCTGTAGTGGTTATGGTGCCAGGAGTGCCATGGTGCCCTCCCAGGGTAAGTAGTCAAACTGTTTAAAAACAGTTTGACAATTTACCTTGGATCTGCCAGGATATGGGCTGTAGTATGTGAAAGGGGCAGTAGTGTTTGTGAAGGTTGAGTGTGTGTGTGTGTGAAGGGTGCAGTGTGTGTAAAGGGTGCAATGTGTATGTGTGTGGGGGGTGCAGTGTTTGTGTATGGGGGTGTATTGTGCTTGTGACGGATGCAGTGTCTTTGTGTGTGTGTGAGGGGTGAAGTGTGCGTGAGAAGGATGTAGTGTGTGGGGGTGCAGCATGTTTGAGAATTGTGCATAGTGTGTGGGGCAGTGTGTGCATGAGGGGTGCAGTGTGTATTGGGGCAGTGTGCATGAGTGGTGCAGTGTGTGCGTGAAGGGTACAGTGTGCGTGAGGGGTACAATGTGTGTGGGGGGGGCAGTGTGTGTGTGTTTGGGGGACCAGAGTGTGTGGGGGGGCATTGTGTGTGAGGGGTACAGTATGTGTGTGCATGGGAGTGCAGTGTGTGTGTGTGTATGGAGGAGTAGTGTGTGTGTGTGTGTGTGTAGATATATATTTGTATTTTTTTTAAATTAAAACAAAACAAAAAATTTATTTCCCCCCTCCCTGCTTACCTTTGCCTGGGAGGGGAGACAGTACTAATGCCTGGTGGTGCAGTGGAGAAGCCCTGGCGGTCCTTGTGGTGAGAGTGAACTCTAGTCTGCAGCTCAGGCTAGAGTTCACTCTCGCAAGATTCGGAGCATTGCTGTGGCTCATCTCTCCCTCCCCTGCCGGCTGCCAGTATTACACTGCTAGTGGGCCGAAGAGGGATATCTCTGTGCTATGATCATATGTCATTTAGTTATCGAAAAGCCTGTGTAGACATTCTGCAGCAGTGTACGAAATCTAGGACAACCACCATGATGTTTTTCCAGACCATGGCTTGTGTTTAATAATTTTGGAGATTTGCAAATTATTAAAAATTGTGAAAAAAATTGTAATATTTTAATATTTTTCAATACATTTGTTTTTTTATTACATATTTTTGTCAGTTTAATATTTTAAGAATATCATTTTAGAAGTTTATCCAAAAATATGAAGTCATTTGAAAAGCTTTTGCAAAAATATTAAATCGAGTTCCAAGTGAGTTATGTTCTCCTGTTCTTTCTCTTTCTCTATTTACAAACGATATCAGTGATTTTCCTGCATTTGTTCTTGTGTTTTCAAGAAATATCAGTGATTTTTTTTCTCATTATAAATTTAACAATATTGGCCTCAATTTAAAATTGTTAGGTAAGCTTTCCAAATTATTTAACATTTTTTATGTAAAATTATTTAATAATATGAAAAGGATTTTAGTTTTGTAATATTTAGCTATTTTTGATATATTGATTTGTTGTAATTTATTATATATTTTATGATATTTTAATATTTAAACAAAATTATATTTTAAAAGCTTATCCAACAATATTAACTTGATAAAAATGTCAGGGCTTGTTGGTGTCCTTTCGAAAGATGTTTCATTCTCATTTTACATTTACAGATGGTGATGCTTCTGTCTCTACTAGGAAGTCAGTGGAGTCTCTGGTTTGGCTCTTCAGTTCTTTCGGTGGTAGAAATGGGGGAGTTGGTTTTTGATGTTGTAGTTATTGGGATAGTGTTTCTTCTTCACCGTTACCGCACTCGTAGAAATCAGGAAGTGGAAGAAACAAGCAGTGTTGCAGATTCTGTTCCATCATTTGAAAACATCTCAGAAAGAGGTTCGGAGATACCTCACAATGACCCTACACACACACAATTGAGGGTGGTAGCTGATATCACCCCTCCACCAGCCTATGAAACCTTAGATCTCAGCTCTTTGGGTGGGGGATCTTCTCGCTCATCCAGTTTACGAAGCAATGTATCTCATCTATCCCGTCATGGAAACACTAGAAGAAGATCACAAGGAGGAATAAGGGCAATGAACGACGCTGAAAATGTGGAATAAAGTGTTTTGGAGAAGGGGTAAAATAGAAGGTCAAATAGCCAATTCTGGAATTGGTGAAGAATTGATGGGTAGTTTAAGCTATTGGTAAAGGGTAATGTAGAAGGATGAAATATATGAATACCATAACAATATGCTTTAAAGTATATAATCAGATGTTGCAAAAATTACTATGTAATGTATGCTACCATGCATTATGTATAAACTACTTTTACTTTATATTATGATCATTGTATGATTCTCTATGCAATTCACTGATTTATAATCTACCATAACATTTACTACTTCTGCAAGTTGCTGCCAGTCAGTAACAGTGACTGGTCGATACTCGGTGATTTTGGGCACAGTTAGTTGCCAGTGGGTGGTGCTAGATATACCAAGTAACAGAAGAATAATGGGCACAGCAAGTTAAATGATACGTACTGTTTAACACTGGATGGCAGTGAACATGATAGTTACAAAATAGCAGTGGGCATTATCATCTGCAAATTACCTAATGGTGGGGGTGTAACAATGGGGTGATGCTAATTCAAAATGTGGAAGTGGGCATAAGAGGCCATGTATTCTTACAGGGCTATTAGCTATAAGGAGATATTAATTTCCAGCGTGGTTGTGGGCTCAGCTGGTCGTAGATTGGTAGAAGGCTCTATTAGTTATGGGGTTGAATGGGTGATTCTGATTTGCAGTGTGCTTGTGGGAATTTCGTAGATGTCTCTATAGGGCACGAGTTGAAAGAGGGGCTGCTTTTAACTGCGATGTAATTGAGTGCGGCTTGGGATAGTCGTTCTGTGGCTAGCCACATTTATACAATTTATAACAATTAGCAATTGTTCCAAACTTGTAGTGGCTTCTACTGGATAGTCACATATAACGATAGGCAGTCCATCGAGCCTCTCTGATTAATATCACAAGTGAAATGTTTTCATGGTGTACAGATAACTTTGCACAGACATATATACAAATCCACAATATATTGTTCTATATACACTATAAATGATTAACACTGTCTTATACTGAAATAATAAGTTGGAACTGAGCTAAAATAAAGATGATTCTAACCCTGCTGATTCTTGTATGTTTCAAAAATTAGTTTGCCAGTTCTTTAGGGTACACCAGGCCGACATGGGTTGAAACTGACCTTTTGCTTTACAGTTTTCTGTGACTCATTCTTCTTTTTTTTCATTAATTTTTCCTTTGACCTATTTACCTCTTTGTTTAATATTAATTAAGTCGGGTTTGTCCATTTGGCTAGTGTTCCACAATCTCATGTTCTCCAGGTCCACTGTCGAAAAAACACTTTGTTTTTGTTTGGTGGCTCGCTGTGATGGTAATATTCATATAGAAAATAATTCTCCTGCGTGCCAGATATATCAACTCATTAGACTTACATTTTCTGAGGGTTTATCCTGCTTAGAATTACAAATTATATAATAAAATAACAAAGGATGCTACAAGATGGTGCATATTCAGCAGCAGATGCTAATTGCTGGATCCAGGAAGGGAGAGATAGGGTCTTCAAAGTCAGAGAACAGAGAGCCAACAACCTTTGTGGTCCTTTGTCCACCATGTTATAATTTATGACAATAATAATTTTACAACTTTTAACTAAAACTCTAAGGACACATAAGATACTTTAACCTTTTGATATATTTGCACATTCCAGAAATCCCAGACAAAGAAAGCCATGTCACTTATTGATACCACCTGTCCCATACTCACCCAGGCGACCATGTAATGCATGCATTGCATATATATTATTCTACACCCAGTAGGATATTAATCTGTGCACTAGAGTATCTCTTGTTCAGCAGGCTGACAGACTATGAAGAATATTCGTTATGTCGCTAAAGCTGTTTACAAGTGACTGCAGCTTGAGGTGACACTGTACTCATGGCTTTATTCACAACACACACCAGTTCTTATAACAATTCATTTGAATTTGACCCATATAGCCACGTGATAAAAGTAACTGAGAAAACCACATACGGAACTTCAAAGAAAAAAAAAATTGATGTTGTGCAATGATTAACACATGTTACTAAAAACAAAAAGTATACAAAATTCAACAGAGATATAAAAAGCCTTATTTATAGGCCCTATTCCAATGCTATAGATCTCTCTTTAAGCTATCACAATCGTTTCAGTGCTGCAGCACAAACACAAAGCACCAGCTTACTATTGCACCACCAAAGGAAACACAAAATAGAAATACAATTACAGATTCTGTTGGTGTCCCCTTCTAACACAAAATACAACAAGGGAGTGAAAGAGATCCATTAGGAGAATTAGCTAAGCTGGGTCTCCAGGATTAACATGTGAGGCGGGCAAGAGGGAGGTTGCATGATAATGATACTTGTGCGTAGGTAGAGGGTATTGTGTATGGGTATGACCCGTACCCAACCCTTAAACCCCTAACCACTGATTTGCCCAAAATAAATGAACCACAGACTTACTTGGAGAAAATAGGCCAGGCTTTTGGGGCTGCACTGCCACAATTTGGGATCAACAATTTGGCGGGTCCTGCCAGTGCAGGTTTGCAGGAAAGCAACTCGCTGTGTCTGACCAGTCTGGAGGCAAATGCAGTCGTGAGAGTTCCTCTGGGGTATGGAGAGGTAAGAAGTATTGGGCACTTTGCCTAACATTAAGTCCCCTTCTTAAGTTGATTCATCCGATGCCTTGTTGGGGGTAGATGTGCTCCCCTTGCGCTGACAGTTGCAGCGGTGATGTGTGGCATCGCCCGAATGTTCAGGTGGTAATTGCTGCGTAAGTGTCTTTCTGGGTGCCTTGTGGCACAAATGGGGTGATGTTGGCTGGGTCCCATCTGCTGGTCGAGGGGCCTTGTTCTCTCTTTCCATGTTGTTGCAATGTGTCTGCTGGTATGCCCAAGTTTTGCAGGAGTGCTGCTGCTTCTTGCATATCCTGCACGTAGTATACGGTATCCCCTTGCTGGATGTGCAGCTTTCGTGGCGGGCGCCACTGGTAGCGTATGTCGTGCTCCTGGAGCAGGGTGGTGAACGGCCTCATCGTTCCCCTCCATTGAAGGGTGTCTCCCGTGAGATCCGCATAAAAAGTGAGGGTCATATTTTCAAAAGCATAGGGGCCTTTCCCCTTGAGTGCCGCTAGTACCATCGCTTTGTCCGCTCTGCTGCGGAACTTCACCACCAGGTCCCGGGTCGCTGTGGCAGGGGCTTTCCGGGGTTTGGGTATGCGGAAGACCCCCTCTGGTACTACGTTTTTGGCCCTTTTGGGTGTTAGTAGGGCCCACAGTAACCTCCGCAGCAGATGAGGTAGTTCGTCTGTCAGCACCTCTTCTGGTACTCCCCTTACTTTGAGGTTATTTCGGCGCCTTTCATCCTCCAGCATTGCGAAGCGCTGGTCCATTAGGCCCTGTTGTTTCTTTAGTTCAGCCATTTCACACTGGAGCTCAGTTATGACGCGGGTCGCGGCCTCTGCCGAGGTTTCCACCTTGCCCAGGCGGCTCACCATTCCTTTGAGGTCAGTGCGGAGTAATGCCACGTCGGCCTGGATGTTTTTTTGGAGGTCCCCCAGCATTGCTTTGAGGGTTGCCTCCGTCACAGGTGCTGAGGTCTTTGGTCCCGGCCATGGCTGGTGTGGTTGAGGCAGCCCCACGGTGCTGTCGTCCAGAGACAGGTCCTCCGAGGAGTCAGTCAGTTCTCCGAGGTCGGCGGCCATCTTGGGTCCGCATGCACCCTGCGCTTGTCGGAACATTTCCCCTATAGTCATGCCCGGCCGGAGCTTGTCCGACTTCTGCTTCTTCGCCTTTCTGCCCGTGGTCAGCTTGGGGTCAGTTACAGCGTTTTCCACTTAATTGTGGGGGTCTTAAGTTAGCGTTAATCAGTATCGCTCACGGAGCTCAGTTCACATGCGTCCGTCTTGTTCAGTCGCTCGGCTCCGCCCCCTCGGCCACAGCTTTATTAAATGTATAAATATGTATAATTTTTTAAACTTCGACTTTATAACATAAAACATCCTGTATACATAATTTACTCAGTACATATATCCGTCAGTGAGTACCACCTTGCCAACCAAAAACATTCACTTGGGCAGCTGCCCTCCCCACTCGTTCCAACCAGCACAAGGCCTTTCCTGGGCCTCCATTCTTGCGATGCTAACCACTAGCCAATTAAGGGCCACATACCGCCACAAGACCCTCAGGTTTACCACCTAAATCAGCGGGACCGCCCCAGCACCAAAGCCATGGCCTCCTCCAACGCATCCTGTAATGTCAAATTAAACAAAGGTGGACCCCATCACCCCTAAAATACATAGCTGAGTTTTATTTGAAGATGCGGTGATGCACCATGAGCCCCCCATTTCCTTCACAAATTTAGATACATGCTTGTTCACCATGATACTGCTTCACTCAAGCGCCCTGGGGTCCCTCGCACTCCTCCAATAACTCAGAGATAGCTCCTCGGACCAGACGATACAAAGTCTCGGGAACTTAAACCATAACTCAGCCAAATACTTCTGGATTGTTTCACCCATATCCCACACCGGAATAGTGCCAAGATCGTTTTTCCCCAAATGAATCAATAGCACATCAGGAACAATGACTAAGCGAGCCAGCCAGACCATTTTAGGCAACAGGTGCTCACACCACATACCCTGGGAACCGAACCAACGGACCTCTGCCACTGTCAGTGACAGACCAAGTTGTAGCCCCCCGGGAAGAACTTTAGCCCGCTGTTATGTCCAATAAATGTAGGAATGGTCGATGACCCACACTCATCTTCCGACACCTACGGTGACAAAAGGGGAAATGGAATCAGACCTGCTGGACGAACATAAGAATGGAACCTCCTAGATTCCCACCCCCAATCCATTGGGTAACCTCCTCAGACACCTCCAGGCATGAGGCCTCAGTGGCAGCCCCTATCCGTAAGGAGTGCCTCCAAACTCTGCACTAGGTAAACCCAAGGCCTCCAATGCCATACGGAAAACCCTGATAAATTGGAATCGGGATAAGAAGCTGGTGTCCCCGTGAACCAGCAAGGAACCCGCGCTCTCTGGGTGAACCTCGCAGAAAGCATGAAAACAGGCCACTGGACAAACCACTGAACCTGGGATGTGCCGTGATGTGACCCAAGTGCCCCGGCCAAGAACATTCCGTCTTGGACTTACACAACAAAAAAACGCACCGCCCCAACCTCACTAAAAATATCCACAAACAACAATCCCCAGGGAATGCCTTGGATGGGTTAACAAGTTCCCCCACCCACATAGCCATGAAAAAGACAAAAGCGACTGAACAGAGAAGAACAAACCTGTGGCAGAACACTAAACAGGCCCACCATCAGAGCATCTGAAACTGGCCTTCGAGAATACGCAATCTTGGGCCCCTTATGCCAACCCCTCATACCAATGAGACTAAAACATCATTCGTGATATCCGTGGCCCTGGTGAGTTTGAACCAAAAACTGAGCCCGGACAACTTACCCAAAACAGCTGAGGAGGAACATCCCGACACCTCCCAGAACCAGATTAACAGTAACAGATCTTGCAAACGCTCTCCATCCAACTGGAAACCTCCAAGATGCCTCTCGAAATCCACCCACTCCCACCATGCCTTACCATAATGCTGCCATGTAGACTCCGAGACTGAACCCTGGATCCAGGACATTATTCGGTCAGCCTAAGGCCCCAGAGATCCATCGGGCATGAAAAGCCTACCTCATCCGCCCCCGGCGCCGCCATCCTGAACTCCCACCACTGAAAATGAGAAAGAGCATCCGCAGTAATATTAGCAACCCCAGGGACATAAACAGCCCTACAGAATACATTCAAAATCAAGCAGCGCAGAACCAGGCGCCTCAGCAGCCGAACCACGGGAGGGTAAGATGCTGACAAATTGTAAATGGCCAACACCACCCCCATATTATCACAGTGGAAGACCACCCTCCGATCCCGTAGGAGATCCCACCAGAGCTCCACAACAACCACTATAGGGAAAAGTTCCTATAGAACTGCCAATAGAAACGCCCATAAAAACCTTCCAAGAAGAAGGACCAAACCGCCAGGTCCTCGCGCAGGGGGCAAGTGATCT